GATATCGATAATATCAGAATGCTATTGGTAATAAGCTGGATGGTTTCCTCGAAGCAAAGATAGATCTCGATGCAGGGTGACACCATCCAAATAAAGATTCCTCTCGCGATATTTAATTTTTTAAATTCCTATCTTCTGCTTAAAAATAATTATCAAATTTATCATAATTCCTATGTCTAATTTTAGACGTCACAAATTATTTAAGCCGAGGAAACCGGTATTCTAGACAGAATGTCTTCCTAAAAAGCGTTCAAGCTTACCTGAGCTAATCCAGAGCTTCCCAATATCGAACTTAGAGGAACCAACACTGGACAATGCACGAAAATCCGAGATCTCGAATGATCTATCTAAAACGAATCGTCAGACAGCGATCTCACGATCAGCCAGGTGGCACCCACGAGCAATCAGTGGCAACAGTCTCGTCTCTCATATATACATTTACGGCGATATTTAAATGCCGCAGTTTCCCATGCCTGTCACCACACACGCGCATGAATCAACCTAATTAGGGACAAGGACGAGTCTTGTTAAAATACTTTTCGAACTGTTCGCCCGTGTTTCATCGTTAGACGAATATTCGTTACCACAGCGGCGATCGATCGATCGAGCTCGCCGATCCAACATTCGATCCAACGCCATCTTCGCGATGCCATAAATCGTTAAGTGTCCGTACAGGCGTATCGATAGGTGTATCGAACCGCGAAAAAGACGACGATAGTCGCGTAGGATGGCACGTGTGGCTCATTGTCAGCCTACTTCGCTGTCAAGATTCATCGAGCAGGATAGCCATGCGTAACCATGACACGGAATTTCGACGCGAGGTGCACGTTTCGAGGCTGATTAGGTCCTTTGCTTCGCGAGATTGTTCAGAAGACGTGATTCATATGGTGTGACGGTAAGTTCGATGATTTTTCGCGTGGTTTTTGGAGATGGGACTGTTGAAATGGATATGGATAATATCAGAATGCTATTGGTAATTCGATACATGGATAATATCGGTGTGATATCGGTAAATTTATTCGAAGAAGATATTAGAATTATCGTTGAAAAGGAAATAGTGGGGGGATAGAAATAGTAACTGATTTATTTATTTATTGCATACAGCCTCAATAGTAGAATATGAGATTATTCAAAAAGTATGGGTGTATATAGGTAATATTATATATACATGTGAACGATAAATTTATATTAACGTTAAGATTAATATAATACTGTCCATTCGTGTACTTGTCTTATTCATATCTTGATGGTACTACCAGTATGTCATTAACAGTAAACCTATCATGGTCGGTTAAATTGACCAATGAATGAAAAAACAAAGGAAGAATCTAAAAAAAAATTGAATAAGAGAAAATATTGAAAAATTTATTCCTCATCCAATGAATGAAAAAAAGGAAAGAAGAATCTTAAAAAATAAAATTAAATAAGAGACAATATTGAAAAATTTATTTCTCTTCCAATGAATAAAAGAAGGAAAGAATTTAAAGAAATAAAATTGAATAAGGAAAATATTGAAAAATTTATTCTTTATCCAATGAATGAGAAAAAGAAACAAAAATCTTAAAACATAAAATTGAATAAGGAAAATATTGAAAAATTTATTCCTCATTCAATGAATGGAAGAAGGAAAGAAGAATCTTAAAAAATAAAATTGAAGAACAAGAGAAAATATTGAAAAATTTATTCCTCATCCTATGAATAAAAAAAGGAAAGAAGAATCTAAAATAAAATTGAAGAACAAGAGAAAATATTGAAAAATTTATTCCTCATCCTATGAATAAAAAAAGGAAAGAAGAATGTAAAAAAAAATTGAAGAAGAGAAAATATTGAAAAATTTATTCTATGAATACTAATGATCACGTAGTCAAGTAAGCAAAGCTATAACATTGAATGCAGAATTTTAAATTAGAAGTTAAGAGAGAGTCAGTTAAACCATGATAGGCTTAGCGTTAAGTATCAATGAAGTATCGATAAGATATTGGTAATATATAATCAATAATCCCATCTTTACTTGTATTGAAGTTTTAAAAATAACCAAAATTACCTCTAGCTAAATTAGAATTTTATTGGTGATTGGTGCGGATGACTGAAGTGAAAATCATGATTTCTTTCTTTAATTTTCCTTCTCTATTCTCTCCTATAAAATTTAGTAAGGGATAAAAGAAAAATTTGCGAATATTGAACAAAAAATTAATTATCGGGATAATAAATTTTAAGTATCATTAAAATTAGTCATTATATTCTCGCAATACTGTATAAAAATTAATTTATCCGGATTATATTCACAGCATTTTCAAAATTACTTAGAAAACACTATACTGGCTTCGTTACTGTATATATCTTGCAGTCAACATTGTTAGCTGTATTTGACGTAGACTCATAAAATAATGCAAAGCTACTTTCTACTTTAAACGAATATGATTATTCCTCTCACCGATACGATGATCTTTCTTGTCATTGGAGATAGCGAAATTTATTACAACTTTCTAGGTCGATGGTAGACCGTCTATTCCTCTCTTAATTATGTTCGACATTGAAACGGAATAACGCTTATTAGAAATCGAAAGCCTTTCGTCATCGTCTGTGGTACTATGTATTCGCAAATAAATCCTATAATCATACACACATTGACGTCACTATTACACATTCAAGCTTTATATATACATATATATTTCAAACCCTAAATTTAAATATCCATTCACTACTTTCAATTGTCAAAGTAGAATAATTCCAACTTATTTCTTCCTGTAATTTACCAATAATTAATGATACTATATTAAAAACTAAAATAGTATACTATATCCTATTACGTTTATTTCGTAACCATTTATAATATATATTCCCCTATTTTTATTCCATAAATATTTATAAATATGTATTCTTTTTATTTCTACTTCATAGCTGTGTACATGTATATATTCTCCATTTTAATTCCATAATTATGTCTAACTACGCGTTTTTATTTCATACCTACTACTTATAATTATATATCACCGTCAAAAGCAATAAAAGGAAAAATTACCTGCGTTTGACACAATTTGTCGCGTGTTAAAGTGTACACAATTATATGCTCGGGGCAACGGTAACTCGTCGATTTCCCGCGTAATGTGGCCAAGAATAATAAAGCGTGTTAGGTAACGTCTAATTTGACGCGGTATTATCGATCACGATCCACGACAAGCATCGATTTAATCTCATTTACCTCGCACACCCTCGCGAAGTGAGAGCTAATAAGCCACGTAGACGGGAAATTATCCTTCGAGTGTGTGTGACAATGTATCGGTGCAATTTAGAAAACACGTCTACGCTTCTCCACGCAATGACCGTTTCAACAGCTCACGCGTAATTGAGGCGATCATTGTTTCAAAATTACGATCGTGTGACATTTAGGAAAGGTGTCGGAGGAATTCATTTTCCTGCGGATGGATCGATTATAAATCTTTAATGATCATCGTACATTGCGAAAATTAGCAGAATTTTATTACATATCTGGTGTAATTAATTAATAAATAACTTTCTCGAAATAAAATTATAGAAATAAATGAAAATACTGTTATTAATATATTTTACTAAAGAATACCAAATATTAAAATACCTCGAAAAAGAAATTGAAAATTCTGAAAAGGGAATTCTACAAATTTTCAAAATCTCTTTCTTCGTTTCTCTAATCCTTCACTCTGTGCAATCCTTCTTAAAAGACATTCAAATATATAATATAATCTAGACTATAATGTATCTTAACGTATAATATACATATCCTATATATACCTTATATTAATATAATATTATATTAATTAGATAATTATTATATTATAATATAATATCAAACTACATTAATACAATACAACATATAAAATATATAAAAAATACATATCTTAAAATATCATATATATGTAAGGATACTGTTTGATTGGCAAATATAAAGTATAAGAAATGTTATTTTATTTTAATATATATATTACGAGTTAAATGATACTAGGAGTAAAGTATAAGCTAAAAGAGTATATTGACAACTGATGACACATTCTCATGTCAGTCCTCGCTAAAAATTCTAAAGACAGCCCTTGCACTCTTATTTAACCTAGCAGTCTCTCTTCTTTCACACACAGGCTTTCTTTCTCTATCACTCAGAAACATCCCATCCATACAATCCATGAACATTCGATCTGAACCCGAAACTGTTGTTTATTATCACCAGCCAGGTAGGCCCAAGTGTTCCCTTACACTCCCTCTCAACCCCTAGCATCCTACATTTATACCTTACTTCAAGAGCTCGTATTATCTATATCTAATCTTGCTATCCTTGATCAGAACTTCCTAATCTAGAATAATCCACTTTTCCACAATTTTCACAGTTTTATGGCGTTATCTTACCCCATGTCTCATTCTGTAGATGTCCAATCTTCTAATCCTACATATATAACTTAATATATTTCATTATACTATACTGTATGATCAAAATCGTGGATGACCATGCACTCGTCTTCATATCTCTAACACTCTATGTCAAATATCCTCCATTTACACAGCTAGTCCACATCCTGTCCACGTAGATCCCACCTTCCTCATTACACAACCCACATTCTTATCCAATTGAGCGTTTATCTTAGTGGCTGTCATGGGTAACCACCGGTGGTGTTTTGGTAATGATTGACAATCGAGCAACTATCAATTTTCATTGAATTTTTAGAATTGTAAGTAGTTCAAACGCTTCGGTTACCAATGGCGTCACAGGAGGAACCGTGACTGGTCATGTATGCTGAACGTGGCAGTCAAAGTGTCAATCGGAAAAGAAAATTCTGTCAAACGCCGTAATTAACATCCGACATCCATTACGCGAACACACACCGACAGATTAACCCTGAGGTTAGGAAATAGGCTGGACTAAGTACACATATATACGAATCTTTGAACCGCCTTCTTTGTCAAGGTGTCAACGCCTTTTCATAGATCCAAAAATTTGCGCCTAAACAGCCATGTCTACCTTTCGCTGTTCCCAGGCATCGCTAGTCCCAGACAGTCAATAGGGAACCACGTGCTGCCAACCCCCGCGAAATTAGTATCGACTCTGCTCAGCCATCTGCGTCCATCACCGGAAACTCACGAGGGTCTGACTAGCCTAGCCGGAGTCTGGTCAGAGTTAATACTGCGGGACATCGCAGCCACGGTGCACCCTAGCAGCAAACAGGACGTGTGCTGTTCAGAGAAGGCGAGACACCCGGAATGCTATGAGATCCACGACGAAGAAGGCGAATGCACAGAGTACTGGCGCTCTGTACCGAGTCTGACCGTGCACAAGTGCAACTTCGAGACCAGGGAACAGATGAACGGAGCCTCGGCCTACTTGGATGGCTCGCACATCTACGGATCTACCGATGAACAGCTACACCGACTCAGAACGTACAACCAGGGAGAGGTAAACGTCTCTGCCTGTGACGCGTGCAACGACACGAAGGACGAGGTGATAGGGATTATATACTCGGCGCTTCTCAACGAGCACAATCGCTTAGCCAAAAAATTGGCAGCCGGCAACGAGCACTGGGACGACACCAAGTTATTCCTGGAAGCTCGTCGACTGGTCGTCGCGCAGATTCAGCATGTCACTCTGAACGAATACGTGCCAAGCATTCTCGGGGAGGGTGCTCGGACGGATCCTGAATTGTTGCCTGTCACGAGCGGATTCTACAATGGATACTCGTCCTCTAACGTGGGAGGCACGTACGACGCTGTCGCGCTGGCAGCTCTGCGCGCTCTCACGTCGCTGCGTAAACATGACACCCGCGATGCCACGTGCTTGGAAGACCACGTGGTCGCGTCGGCCAATCGCGTGAGCCTCGATTTCAGTCAGCCCGCTTTCGAACCGCGGGTCGACGTAAACACGCGCTTCGTACACATGGGCCGTGACCACGGCATTCCCGGGTACATCGAGTTCGTGGCTGATTGTTCTGGACACAATGTCACGGTAGGTTTATTTTTCTAACTGTTTTCCCAGTGGATTCGTTTGGATACCGTGCTACGGTAGCTTTGTTTTTAATTTACCTTTTAAATTTCACACGGGACTTTTGACGATGGTATCTAAATGACTGGTACCGCGGACTAAATGACTGTTTTTTTTTAATTCTTAATGAAAATTCGACACTCGACTAAAGATTGCTTTGATCCCACGATTTTGCGATTTTTACTATAATATACTTATTAATTTTACAATATCTCTTTTTTATTCCATTTTTTTTTTTTTTTTTTTTTAATACTTTAATTTTATCACTCATCGGTCATTTGACCAATCGTGATAGACTTGTTAGTATATTATACACGATACATCATACATATGTATTCAGAAGATAAATAAATAAAAAAAAGATATTAAAAATAATAAGAACTAAAATAAAATATAATTAAAAATTATTTTTTGTATAATTGGCTCTCGCGTTTCTAATCTTCAAATGTTTAAAACACCGAATAAAATAAATTCACAGAATCTACGATCTATTTAAAAAATATCGTTTACGCGAAATCTTGTATAACTTTAGTGTTCGAGATTTAAAAAAGCAAAACGAAATCAAAATATCTTGTTTGGTTTCCTGAATCCAAAATTTATACAAAAAATATTTTTCACGTAATAAACTTGGAAAGTAATAAAAATACAATTGAAGCGTACCTTTCGTTTGTTGGTAGGTCCAGAATTTCGTGGATCTGGAACCTTTGATGCGTGCCACACACGTAAGGATGTTGGAATCCGTGTATTCTCGAGTGGAAGACATAGACCTTCTGCTTGGTGGAATCTTAGAAATTCCCAAAAGGGGTGCGACAGTGGGTCCAACGTTCGAATGCCTTCTAAAGAGGCAATTCGTCAAGATCAGAAACTCTGATCGATTCTGGTACGAGAACGACATTCCTCCTTCGGGGTTGACCTCGGCACAACTGGCTGAAATTAGAAAAGTTTCTCTGTCTGGTATTCTCTGTGCCAACGCGAAGATCGAAAGGATTCAGCCGAAAGCATTCATCCAGCAAGATCCCTATCTGAACGCTAGGATCAATTGCGTCCAACATAGTCCACTTGACATAACTCCGTGGAGAGAGGAACCACTTCCAGAACCTGTGAAGGAGGTAGTGAGTGGCAGCAGATCCGTGATCCCGGAATACGTTCCAGAACTCAGTCCCGGTCTGATAGCAGCAGCTGTCAAGAAGGCGGAAGCAGATCTAATTGAGAGGAAGCAACTGGAGTACAATTCGTGGTTGCAGCAGAGAATAGCAGATCCCAAATCACCAGCCGGGACAGCTGCCAGTTTCTCCAAAGCTAACAGAGATGCTCTGTTATTGGCCAATTCGTCCATTATGTACGAACTGGCTACCAATGAAATTTTAAACGGCATCCATGGCTTGAAACGCAGGAAACGACAGATCTTCGACACCACGGATAACATCCTCAGTTTCCCCAACAGCGATTTCTCTGATCTGCTGCAGAACGTTGACATTTCTGGATTCCTGGCTCAGAAGAAGCCCACGAACCACGACGAAGTCGAGTGTCCTGTAGACGACAGTCCTTGCGACCCAACTTCTCCATACAGGACTCTGTCAGGTCACTGTAACAATCTACGTAACCCCAATCTAGGCAAGTCGTTGACGACATTCGCCAGATTGCTGCCTCCAATTTACGAGGATGGTGTCTCCAAGCCTAGAATGACATCAGCCACAGGAGTGCCTCTACCAAATCCGAGAGTGATCTCCACGGTGATCCATCCTGACATCTCCAATCTTCATAATCGATACACGCTAATGGTTATGCAGTTTGCTCAGTTTTTAGACCACGACCTCACAATGACGCCCATTCACAAGGGCTTCGCTGAGTCTATACCCAGCTGCCGTCCTTGCGACTCTCCCCGCACGGTTCATCCTGAATGCAATCCATTCCCGGTACCACCTGGGGATAATTACTACCCTACGGTGAACGTAACTTCAGGTGCACGAATGTGTTTCCCGTCTATGAGATCGCTGCCAGGTCAACAGCACCTGGGACCCAGGGAGCAGATCAATCAGAACACCGGTTTCCTCGATGGATCCGTGGTTTACGGTGAAAACACTTGCATCTGCAACATTCTACGCGGTTTCAATGGCCGTATGAATGCCACTCAGAGTCCACATCGCGGAGCGAAGGATCTGCTGCCACAATCCCCGACGCATCCGGAATGTAAAGCTAAGTCCGGCTATTGCTTTATCGGTGGCGATGGTAGAGCCTCTGAACAGCCTGCACTGACCGTCATGCACACGATGTGGATTCGCGAGCATAACAGGATCGTGGAGGGTCTGAGGCAAGTGAATCCTCATTGGGATGGAGAAAAACTCTTCCAGCAGTCTCGACGTATAATCAGCGCGATGCTGCAACACATCACGTACAACGAATTCCTGCCACGAATCCTCGGCTGGAACGCTGTTACCCTCTACGGACTGAAGCTTCTACCTCAGGGCTACTACAAGGAGTACTCGCCTACGTGCAACCCCAGCGTGCTCACGGAGTTTGCTACTGCTGCTTATAGAATTGGACATTCGCTCTTGAGACCGCATTTGCCAAGGATGGATCGCAATTATCAGAATATAGAACCGTCTATTCTATTGAGAGACGGCTTCTTTGATCCCGATGCACTGTATCAGCGTGGTATGCTGGATGAAATGACACGTGGGTTAGTGGCCACTCCTATGGAGACCTTAGATCAATTTATAACCGGCGAAGTGACCAATCACTTGTTCGAAATTCGTGGAATTCCGTATTCCGGGATCGACTTGGTGGCGCTAAATATCCATCGAGCTAGAGATCACGGTATACCGTCTTATAATAATTACAGAGCTCTGTGTAATCTGAAAAGAGCTACCACTTTCGAAGATTTGTCGAGGGAAATGGCACCGGAAGTTATAGCTCGCATGAAACGCATCTACGCGTCCGTGGATGACATCGATCTGTTCCCCGGTGGCATGAGCGAAAGACCTCTTCAGGGTGGGCTCGTAGGACCTACGTTCGCCTGTATAATTGCCATACAGTTCAGGCAGGCGAGGAAATGCGATCGATTCTGGTACGAGACCGACGACCCCAACATCCGGTTCACGGAGCATCAGCTCGCTGAACTTCGCAAGGCTACGTTGTCGAAGGTTCTCTGTGAGAATATGGACGAACACACCGATATGCAACGGGCGGCGTTCGATTTGCCGAGCAATTTCTTGAATCCACGTGTACCCTGCAGTTCTATGCCAATGATGGATCTGTCTGCCTGGAGGGAAACGAGGCACGGTTGTCAAATCGGAGGAAGGAACGTGGCCCTGGGAGAGTCTGGTTTCCCTACTCCCTGCACCAGTTGTGTTTGCACAGCTGAAGGCGTACGTATACCCTCTTATTTTGTTCATATTTGGAAAATAACGTATACTCGATCGTTGTAGATTCGATGGAAAGTTTAACGTGTTTCTTATTCGTTTCCCATTGTTCCCGTTTCAGACTCAATGCGCTTCTCTGAGGATTACAGACTGTAATCAGCTTCTACGCGAAGCTTCTCGAGAGGCGATTTTACGTGACGATGTATGTACGGCTCAGTGCGGCTTCGTCCTAGCGGCCACTGAAGCTAGCTTGAGGCTTCAGCAATTCACTACTCCGACCAGCTTCCTCGGTTTCGTGCCACACAGAAACAGCCTGAGAAGCGCACCAACGCCGGTTTCGTTCAACGGCTTCAAGTTACCCGATCTCTCGCAATTCATAGGTTGAGCGAGGGGAAATGTTAACAAAGACTTCTCGTATAACTGGTCGCTTATTAACTATTACACGCAAGAGACTCACTGTCTTCCTTCAAGAGACTGTACAACGACAGTGACGTAGAGTTTCTGGCGAGCTGCGCTTATCGTTAATGATCGAACAATTCTTTGTACAGAAACGCGAATCGGGGATCATGATGAATGCGTACCACCTCGTGTATCTTGATATAAGTCGGCCGTGAAGAGAGGTCAAGAGTGTCCCAAAAGTAATATATTAAGATTCACACACGTATTATATTCGACTGGATATATTTCAAACATGACACTGTTTCATTTTGTAAGAAATACCTCTCATTTTTTTATTTTACTTGTTATGTTTAGTACTATTATTTTGTAGATTATAAGAAGTATTTAATTCACAAGAGAAGATGTACTTGAATAACGAAAGTGTAAAGAGGTCAGTACACGATGTGCCTTTGTATAAAGCTGTCATTGCCAGTTTGAAGGGAATATTGTACAGTGATCTCAGTGTGAGGATAAAGAGGACTTCAATAAATTGTCATGGTTCTTCTTGATATTGACACTTGTTAGGTAAAAGAAATAAACAAGTGGATATCATAATGGGCGGATGAGTGATATGTATATTGTAAAGGAGTTGTGCTGGCATCGTCCCAGGCAAATCGTTTTTATACTTGTATAGTAATTATAACACGAAAATAACAAATGCGAACACAAAATTTAATTCTGAATTGTCTTTCTTTTTGTCATTACACTTCTATCTAATTTTGTAGTATAATAGTGACATGTATAACGTTAATAAATGTTAATGTTTCTTTTTTTTTTTTTTTCTTCTTTATAATAAATAGTGAACGGCGTCCCACACTTCCACGATCTATCAGACTACAATGAAGGTTGGTCCGCTTTTTAGTCTTCTCCGGAGTACCACGATTGATAGGCTGATTTAAGATGTTTCATAAAGATTTGATATTTACAAAACGTATGGCAGACATGCACACATCAGCCGATTAAATACAATTTCGATACGAATCATCGTGAAAATTCGTTCTTTGTTGTTTCATTTATACACTTCTATTAATAAAGTGTTTTTTCTTTTTTCTCTTTTTTTTTTCTTTTTTTTTGGATGTTAAAATACTTTACACTATTTATGAATTGTTAGATTTTTAACTGGCAGGAACTTCTTGTTTATTATTAAGCACAGCAGCAGTTTCTTGTATTGCAGGTGCTTGTTCTATACATCGCCAGAGACCATAAGTTTTACCAACAGTTGTTTGCCATAATCTCAAGGTACCATCTTCTGAACCACTAGCATATAATTCACCATCTGGTGAGAAACGTACGCAATGCACAGGTCCAAAGTGCCCTTTGAATGATTCTAGAAATGATATTAAATATTTGTAAATATTTAAATGTAAAGAAATATAATTGATAACTTTACTTGTAACCTACGTATTAAACTTTAACCTACCAATTTCTGCACCTGTAGCATAGTCAAACTTATACATTTTTAAGTCTTCTCCTCCACATACAAAAATACTACGATCTGGGTGCAAACTGGCACTATTCATTTGTGTTGGCGCAGTGTACTCACGTAATTTAGTTAATCTGCAAATGATTAAAAATTAGCTCGAGTGCTATTGGTATAATTGAGAAACATGAATAAAAGATAAGAAACTTATTAAAATGTAAAGTATTGCTCTAGGAAATATTTCCCAATGGGCCAAGGTTAACTTGAAGGTTTCGTAGCAAATCCATGTTCAGGATATTAATGTGTCTGTACTAACAGATGCATAAGAATGTACATTACACAGTTAGTAACCTTGAACTTCTTTTGCTACATTCATCTTTTCTTTATTCTATGATATAACTTATCAATTTATGGTTGAAAAATGTTAAGAAATAAACATACTCTCTGCTATTCCAGAAAGTGACTATATTGGAATGAGTTGTAGTAATAATATTTCCATCCCTTGATACTTCCATGGAATTTGGGATTGCTGGAAAATCTAACCTCTTTACTTCTTGGCCACTATTTCTGTCCCAAACTCTCAATGTTTTATCATCGCCACAAGTAATCAATGCTGTGTTATTATTGAAGAAGGTAACATGCCTGATATAATTTTTATGACCTGAGAAAACCTATTGATGTTATTGATTAAATAGAGTAATCCAAGATATTACGTACTCGTGAAACACAGTTATAAATATATACCTGTGGTACTGCTTCGGGTTTGTTAAGATCATAGATTCTTACAAGTTTCTCATTAGAACCGGTGCATAAATGATTTGAATCTGTGCTAAAGTTTACAGATTTTACAATATGTTTATGTTGAAATGAATGAATTTCTTCCCCTTTAATAGCATCCCAAACTTTAGCATTAAAGTCTGCAGCACCAGAAGCAGCTCGTGTAGCTTGTGGGTTTAATGCGACACCCCATACTGCTCCTTTGTGTCCTTCAAATGTTCCAATCCAATCTCCAGTATCACCTTGTCGTAACATAGGATTGCCATCTAAAAATATGTTTAATTTGTTTGATACTATATAAATCTCTCATGAAGCCACAATAACTTTAAACAATCATCTACGTTCTAACAAGTCAGCATGAATAAAGCATATGCTTAATTTAATGTTCCTTAATAAAACAGATTAGAGAAACTTTTATCCAATTAAGAGAATATACATATATGTAGACCGACTAGACATAGACGAATTCAACCATTTTATAAACGCGTGGTAAAACTATAGAAAGAATTCAGCAGG